GGGGGGGGGGGGGGGGGGACTCCCATACAAAAAAGTCAGTGGTGCTTGTCGTACCTTTTAGGGGTTCCAAAAGAGGGTTTCGTACCTCTTGGGTGTTCAGCCTCAAAGGGTCTACACAGGAGCTTTTGCAGTACCTTTTAGGGTATTGAGCCAAAAAAAGTCAGTGTCAGTTTAATGTGTTGCTTTTGAATTGGTGCCTCTTAGGGGTGGAAAAAAATTCAAGCCACACCCACAAAAATGGATCTTGATACCTCTTAGGGATTCTATTCAAAATTTCTGGCAAGCACCCCCATCCTTTGTATATTGGAGTCCCCCCTCTCCCCGAGCTGTGATCTCTTCAAGTAGATGGTGATTTTAGCTGGCAACCAGCTACTGTTGACAACCCTTAAGAATTCTTACTTTATATGATGTATACATATAATATGCTACCTTGTAGGTCCCCAGGGGTCTATAAAGCTTTTTAACCTGGATACACTGCTTTACGTTGGAGATTTTAAAGGTAAATTTGTGTTATCCCATTTGACGTTAACAACTTTGTGCATATGGAGGACATCTCTGATACAGGGTGCAATATTCAATTTTCAGCACTTGAACTGAAAGAAAAGAACTGATATAGTTAGTCTAATTCCAAGAGCGGAAGTTACTACTACTCATGTCATGATTGAGTTCTTTGAAAACATCAATGAAGGTGATGTTTATACTTTTTCTTCATAATTTATAGCTCATTCTGCAAAGATTACAGGTTTGGAGTATTGTCACACTAATCAGCATTGCTTCTGGTCAACGTCAATTGATACATCTCTGAGGTTTGCATTGTTGAATTTTTTAAAGTATTCAGGTACTACCCAATCATAAGGCAACTAGCATTATTTTATAAATTGAGGCTGTTTGTTTCCAATGAGCCAGTGGGGATTTTTAGGTTCAGCAAGGGAAAGAATAGAGTGAATATAGATTGATTTGATCTTTAATGGCATGTATTCTCATTGAAATCAAGAAAAGATTTGGTGAGTCAGCATGGCCAAATGGTTGCACTGCTGGACTTGAAATCTTAACTTAAGGTAGTTTCAAGTTCCTTTCTGATCAAGTACAT